TGAGGTCGTTGTAGGAGTTCTTTCCAATCCCCGCCACTCCACTTTTCAGTGCCTGCTCCTTGCACAATGAAATCGCACATTAAGATGTTTGATCCCGTCGTCTGCAGCAGGTTCAGAGTACCTTCTATACATCGATACTTTCTACACATTCACCCTTGGAAGTAGATGTATAGACCTGTAACAAGGCTGACGCTTTCGCCTGCTGCAACGTCAGTTGGAGGAGTGCCACTTTTCCGTTGACAGGCTTCCATTGTGCAAGCCAGTTTGGGTTCCATCAGAACATTAGTGCCGGCTTTAGCACTAATGGTCGTAAAATTAAGATCTAGAATAGCCCGCAGTAGCTCAGAATTCCGGAGTTGTTTAAATTAAATCGACAACGTTATTCTATGTCTAGAAGGTTGGTCACTTGATGCAAATAATTTCTATTTTGTAATAAACATATGTATAGGTATTGTTCTTCCTGGCCGGGTTTTCAGTGAGAACACTTATTTCTCAGACAGGTGTAACCTGAAGGCATCGGTAGATTGACAACCTCTCTCTACCTTCGTCTCGTTAATTAAACATTTCAGATTTTATCACCGATTTTCTACAATGACGAAACAGTCACTATACTCTTCTCTTTTTGCATGTGACATCATATATTTTACTAGCCTCTGAAGATCAGTGAGGTTAACTCTGTGTCTGTTTATGGAAACGAGGGTGAGAAGAAGAGGTCTGAAATCTATCATAATTCTACTTTTATCAGTTCGACCGGTCAGTTATCGCGATTCGCGCCGGCCGAATCACGCCCGCTATTCCTCTTGATTTCGAGCCTTCTTCCTCTAACCTTCGCGGCGTCTGACATGATTTTCCCAATGTGTGTGGTGGGCAGCAAAGAGACCTAGTCCGTCCATGAGGGTACTAGGTGACGATCATCACTGGCTATCTTCCGTCGATGAGCCGAGCTACATGCCAGGTTCATTGTAACTTCTTCCTTCTGCCTTGGAGATGATTTTCGCCATCGTCTTTACTTGTCTAGAATACGATAATATTTATCAACTTGGTAACTGCTCATCTTTCTTAGACAAAAATCAGTATTCATCAGCGAGTCATTAATTTTCATTTTTTGTTTATTTTGAGATGTCATCGTTGAAACTGAGTGATGAAAATTGTTCAGCCGTTTAGCCTTTATCACCAGGAAACGACTTATACAGCGCCATTCGCAGTGAGTGAGGCAATGCTATTGCAATTACAATTTATGCAAAACGTATCTATGCACGGCAAATGCTCGAATGCCATGGAACTATGGTATCCATAATGTGTCACGTTTCCGGGAGATAGGGTACAGTACAGCTGTGCTACTCTGTTTAACAAAATTATAGTCTATGTAGTGTCACACGCACCACCACCACTAACCGCCTTAATCATTTATAGAATCCGTTGCTTGACGTAGCAGCGGCAGCCTTTTCCGCTTCTCCCTGCTCTGAATTATTCATTTAGTCATTTTGTCTTTTTAAGTTAGGTGATAAAATAACGGGTTTTCATCTTCCCCTGCCTCATAGTGATAAAATCATTGTCTTAATTGGACTGGTGGTTTTCATTTAAGTTTCTCAGTTGTTGAAACGTACCACGCCACTAACCGTGAGGTGATTTTCAAAACGTTTTCGATTCGCCGTTAAGTGATATAAATGCAATTAAGTTATGCAAATTAGTTGTCCTCATTGTACCCATTTGTTCATAATCAATTTTACACCAAATTTAGTTGCTCAATATATGATTTATGAGATCGTTACTAGCATAATGTGATTTTAATTGCAGGCAACTGGATAATTAAGAAACGACTAGGCTCGTTAATTATGTTGTACTTGAGAGTGAAGCTTACCCTGTTTGCATCCATGTGAATTCTTTAATCAGAACGCTGTTATGTTTCAGTCGTAATGTTTCTGAGGTAATGATTACAGTTATATCCTGTTTAAATATTTTAAGTTTTGAATCGAAGCGCTTAAGCATTTCGTCGGAAAGCAGCATTCATAATGATACGTTTCAGAAATTCAGTGGGCAACGAATCTTGTCAGCTTTTGCTTGCTGGCTGGAGCTAAGCATATAGGCTAATTGTTGTGTGATTATTATATTCTTTCCCTACCCAATCTTAAGATTAATAAAACATATTTCAATAGGACCGATGAAAACTCAACAAATTTATTAAACAAACTTAATCTGCTCATTCTTATTTTGCTTTCCTAACGTAGAATTTCCAGACTGATCAGCACATTCACGGGCATTCGCATATGCAGTTATTGCAATCGAAGCGTTGTAATTTCCTTTCACTGCAGATAATTAACTTTGTGAATGAACTAATCACGAAGGTTGCATAAGTCATTTAAGAGAGATTGCTTTCTTCTCAGGTCATCAAGTTTATTAGCTTTTAATGCGATGGATAATTTTGCCGTATATACCAGCTGCAAATGACAAATGAGTATAAACAGAAAATTAACAGAAAATAAAAAACAAGGATCAAGATGAAAGTTCTTCATGAGATGCATGTGTCGCTCGGCAATGTCGTGGATCGCGCGAGCGATGAATGGAACACCAAGCGTTCGATTTCTTACAGGCCATACACATGTGTAAAAACTGAATCCTGCTGGCTTGATGTCTTGAAAGGCAGCGGGCAGCGGACAAGCAAGTCATACGGCCGGTATTCATTCGTCGCCAAGAATCGAGTGTCCAAGATTGACTGTTTAATTCAGAACTTGATTCGTGATCTTGGATGCAATGGATCTGGATTCTCTGTCGCTGATATTCTGCTGATTTTGATTGCTCGCCGAAATGTGTGAACGTCAACTGTACAGAGGCTGGCGGAAGTCATGGACCAGCACGCGTAATACGCAGTGACGGGAATTATGCAAGATTTGATGAATTGGTTAAAACTACTTGTTGATGAGTGGGTGGTAGCAAACTGCCTAAGATAATAGGAGGCATATCAGATTTCATTAAATACACGAAAAGCGTGTGACGATCCTTTCAAATCGCATTCTCAAATGTATTTCTTTTCGAAGAGTTGTACGCATAACGCTATGAAGATGTGGTTGATGATCATTTGATTAATGGTCATCGGCCGCTATGCGGCCTCTCTTCGTATTATTCAGTCACAATATTCGCATGCTCAATGGGTTCTATGGCAAGTGTCTGTCATCCAAGCAGTGATAAAGAACAGCCTTCAAGTCCTGTTGAATGCGCAATAAGCCTAGTGTTGCTATACTAGTTAGTAATCGCACCGCTTGAACGATGCTTCAAACAGCCTGGTATGTTCTGCTTTTCAAACGGGCTGGATGTCGATATCGCACTTTGCTGACAAAAATACATTCACGCTGACATGGTACATTCGCGGTAGTCTGAAGCATGAGAAAAGAAGATAGATACAAACTAGAAACGATGTCTTTTCGATTAAAATTTGCTACTGCCAGATGGTTCGAAGGAATTTGTCCTAGGGACATCGTAAGAAAGCGAAAAACGTAAACCGCGAACTTCAAAATGGATGGAAAATCTCTAAACAGTTGTGAGATTCCATAATTAGTATGGTGGAACCTGGAACCTCTGCGATTGTGAATG